TTGATATTCACTCATAATTTTATCTGTATGTATAGCTTGTTCACTGTAATCTATTTAAAAATTCCAAAACATGCATATGCCACGTAGAGTTTCACTAATATCTAGTTGATAGATAATTGGAATTTTTTCACTTTTACAAATAATAAGAGGGAGTTCATGTGCCCGTATTTATTCAGATATGTGTTTTATCAAAAAAGTACATCTAGCACTAACTCGCCGCAATCATCATCAAGACCATCCCCGGCAGGGAGGAGCTGCGGAGCCTGGCGCGGCAGCGGAAGTGGCGGCCGTCCATTGGGGTGCAGGTACAGATGGAGGAGGCGCGACGAGGGCTCGCGCCCCGGCCGGCTGGGGATGGGGCGAGGGGGTGGAAGCGGCCTTCCGGATGTATGGACCTTTCTCTTGGCTTGCTCGGAGCGGCACGTAGACCCTGTGCCGGGTTGTCGACAGGGCGGCTCCAGCCAGTGCTAGCCGGCAGGCTCCCTTGCCCCTTGTCCTGATACCGTCGGCCCTACTGGCAAGTGGAGAGCGGTGCCCAGCAGTCCGCACCTCGTGGCTCTGACCTCCTGTTCAGGCAGATGATGTGCTTTGCAGGATCTGCCACCTGGCCTGGGGCTCAGCCATTGCTGGCCATTCTCCTTGGAAAGGCCTTTTGCCCTCGGCCAGCCCCAGTCACTGACTCCTCCACCCTGCCACCAGGTGGAGACTATCTCGGACTCTGACACCGAGAACAGGAGCCGAAGAGAGTTCCACTCCATCGGCGTGCAGGTGGAAGAGGACAAGAGGTAGGTCACAGTGGGGCACCTCCGGTTTTTGTTGGGGATAATAGGAGAGTGGGCAGCACAATGTCCTCCCTGGCCCAGTCCTTCTGCGCATTCACTCTTCCTAGAGGCGAGACCAAGCCCTGTTACTGGGGAGCAGTCAGAGCAGCCACAGAGGTTGTCCACAGAGACGTCACCAGAGTAGTCATCACATCTAAAGTGAATTCTCCTTGTGCCCATTCCCATCCCAAGCACCCGGAAGCAGACAGGAGATGTACAGTGATAGTGGGGAAGGATAGGTAGGGAAAGGTAGCCAGTAGGTGCTGAGCAGGTCTCCAGCAATTGTCCTTTCTAGGGGATAACAGGATCTGCCAATCCCTCATTACATCCTGTGGTGTACAAGTAAGTGAGCTCAAAAAGAAACAAACAGGAAGATTGCCTCTCAGGGGCTCCTGGCAGATATAACACTCCTCCTCACTTGGCTCACACAACCATTTAACCAGTTGGGGGTACCTATTATGTGCCTGAGTCTGTGGTGTTACCCGAGATAGTAGAATTACCAGCAGCCACTATTCTGGCATTAGGTGGCCTCAGAAACATTGCTTCCTTAATTTCCAGCTGAAGAATGAGCACCATGAGCTCTGGAGGGAATATTGGAAAGAGTCCTCTCTGTTCTTGGGTTCCTGTGGGGAGACATGTTCTGTAATGGTCATGTGGCAGTGCCACAGTGACCCCTCTGCCATCTGTGCTGCAATGCTATCAGACCAGAGGCCCTGGCTATGGTGTTTAGGAACTTTCCTAGGTCTGGCCATAAGGGTCACATGGTCATCTGAGTTGCCCAGGCCATATCTACTGGAGGAATAAAATTAGCGTCCCAGGAGCATCATCTGCTGTTCCCAGTTGCCCTTTTTGGACCTTCAGACCTCCCCCAAAAGTTACCCCAGCTATTTCTGGGACCCCCCTGTCGATGTCTTGTATGTGTGCCTCATCACATCTTCTTGGAGCTCTTGTGGGATATGTCATTTTCTCTACTTCTGCTTTAGCTCCTTGATGTTTCATGGGATCCTGAGGCTGCAAATGCTTCTATCCAAGATGGCAAAAAGCTGCCTTTGTTGCTTCCATCACTCCAAAAGCTGTTGTCCTCCAAACTCATACTATCCCACAAAGACTGCAGAACAGTAGCATTTTATGGCAAGCTGAGTTTGCAAATCCATGACTTGAGTTCGTGAGAGATGGGATAGGAGTCACATGTGGCTACAACCCTAGCCTCCAAATACTTCCCCACCCCAAGAATCTAGTGCTACCCATGGTCCCTCAACCAAATCCATGTGTTCCCACTCACTCCCTTGAGAGGATTTTTGCTCCCTCACCCAGACAAAGACCCCGGGGGCCCCCAATTCCTTCTAACAAGCTGGAATCCTAGGAAGGGTGTAGAAGACATTCTAGCCAAGATTCCTGCTTAATCAGCAAATTTTGTCAATCATTGACTGATACATTCATCAAATACTTTGTTTTGTTTTTGAGTCGGAATCTCACTGTCACCCAGGCTGGAGTGCAGTGGCGTGCTCATGGCCACCGCAATCTTGACCTGCTGGGCTCAAGTGATCCTTCTGCCTCAGCCTTCCAAGTAACTCGAACTACAGGCATGTACCATCATGCCCGGCTACTTTTTCTTGATTTATTGAAGAGATAAGGTCTCACCAAGTTACCCAGGCTGGTCTCGAACCTGTGGGCTCAGGCAATCCTCTCACCTCAGCCCCCAGAAGTGCTGGGATTAGAGGCGTGAGCCACCGTGCCTGGCCCATCAAATACACATTAAGCACTTGTGTACTATGTTAAATGCTTGTCAAAGACATTATTCTTGCCTTCATAGACGTTATGGTGTCAAGGGAAATCAAGGCAATGAATAAATAATCCATGAATAAAAATATGTTTGCATATTCGGTACAATAGGTAATGGGATATCATTACACATTGTGGTGGGAATACGGAATAAAGAAGGAGACGAGAGAAGTTACTTTATTTAGATTAAACAGATGATTCTTAAGGTGAGCCTGGAGGATTGACTAGGAACACTCAGGTAATGACTGGAGGGGGAGCGGAAAGCATACCAGGGAGAGGGAATCCCATATATGGAGGTTCTGGGACAGGCAGGAAAGAGTGACACGCATCAGAAACTGAAAGAAGGTTTAAGTGGCTGGTGCGGAGTGGGGTGGGGGAGTGGTGAGGGAGTGAATTGGAGAATAGGAAGGGGCCAGGTCATGTAAAGCATGGACATGATAAAGAAGCAGAATCTAATTATGAGTAATGAGTAGCCATTAAGAGGTTAAAGAAGGTGTGCGGCATGATCTAATTTATATTTACAAAAGATTACTAGCTGCTGAGTGGAGATGAATTTGATGAAAGGAATAGTAGAAACGAGGAGGTTAGTAAGGAGGATTTTTCATGAGCCAGAAGAAAGGTGATGTTTTGTACTATATGGTAGCTATTGTGATTAGGATTTTTTTTTCTATTGTATTTTATAATTGGGCACTGCTAGTGTATGGGAACACAATTACTTTCTTAAACTCAGCTTTAAGCTTTATTTATTTACTTTTAAGCTGTATTTATTTATTTAGTTTAGAGTTCAGAGATACATGTGAGGATTTGCCATAAAGTAAATTGCTTGCAGGTGAGGTTTGGACTTCTAGCAGGCCTTCTCCCCCCTTGGTAGTGCACATGGTACCCAGTGGGTGGTTGTGTGCAGCTTATTCCGCCCCCTTCCTCCCTCCTTTAGAAGTGCCTAGTGTTTCTTGATCCTGTCTTTGTGCCTTCCCACTTGAGTGAGAACATGTGGTGTTCAATTTTTTGTTTCTGTGATAGTTCACTTAGAATGATGGTCTCCAGCTGCATCCATGTTGCTACAAAGGACATGATTTTGTTCCGCTCTATGGCTGCCACGATTAGGTTTTGAGTATTGATTTTGTATTCAGCAACCTTTCTGATCTCTATTATTAGGTCTCATACGTTACCTGAAAATCTTGATGGCTTTTCTGTATAGTCATTTTTCTGCAAATGAGCGTATTTCTTTTACATGTATATTTCTTGTTTATTTTTCTTGTAATAATATATTGAATAGAACTTCCAGTTTACTGTTGAGTGGTGGCACACTTATCCCATTCCTGACTTTGGTGGGTATGCTTCTCAAGATGATGTTTGCCATAAATTTTGGTGGCTATATCATTTGTCAGGTTAAGAAAATTCCCTTCTATTCCTAGTTGGCTAAGGGTTCTTATTTTTATTTTTATATAGAAAATGCAAGTGGTATGTTGTTGTGTGCTTTCTCAGAATCTACTTAGATGATCATAGAGTTTCTCCTTCCATGTGTAATGTGGTGAATTTTATAAATAGACTTCCCAAATTGACTCATTCTTTTATTCCTGGATAAACCCGGCTTGATCTCATTATCAGTTTGGATTAAACTTGACTGTGAATAACAGGGCTTCAATAGTGTCTTAAACAAGTGTATTTCTCTCTCACTTTAAAAAAAAAAAATCCAGCCTGGATGTAGAAAGTGCAGTGTCAGGACACCAGGCTCCTTCTATTTTGTACATCACCTCATGTCCAAGGAAATGAAGTTCAAGTTCCACTAGTCATACCTGCATTCTGAGTAGTGAGAAGGTGAAGGGAGAAAGAAGGGTGCAGTCCTTCTCTTTAAGAAAGACTTCCGCCGGGCTCGGTGGCTCAGCCTGTAATCCCGCACCTTTGGGAGGCTGAGGTGAGTGGATTGCCTGAGCCCGCGGGTTCGAGACCCGCCTGGGCAGCAAGACCTCATCTCTACAATAAATCAAAAAATCAGCCGGACATGGTAGCGTGCACCTGTAATTCCGGCTACTCAGAAGGCTGAGGTGGAAGAATCGCCGGAGCCCAGCAGGTCGAGCCTGCGGTGGCCGGAAGCGGCCACTGCACTCCAGTCTGGGCGACAGAGTGAGACTCCAACTCAAAAAAAAAAAAAAAGAAAGACTTCCTGAAAGTTACACACAACACTTTCATAACATTGGCTGAAACCTCATCACATGGTGACATCTAACTGCAAGAGAGGCTGTGGAGTATAGTTTTGGGGCTGGGGAGCAGAGTGCAAAGTACATAGCTAACAACCAGGTTCTTATGGCTAAAGACAAAGATAAGAATAGGTATATAGGGTTCTAGCAGTTTCGTCACAGTCTTGCTCTATTATTTTTATATACATTGCTAGGCCTTTCATGTTTTTGTTTTTGTTTTGTTTTGTTTTGTTTGAGTTGGAGTCTCACTCTGTCGCCCAGACCGGGAGCGGCCACTGCAGCCTCGACCTGCTGGGCTCCGGTGATCCTTCTGTCTCAGCCTTCCAACTAGCTGGAACTACAGACGCGTGCTACCACGCCCGGCTAATTTTTTGATTTATTGTAGAGATGAGGTCTCGCCAAGTTGCCCAGGCGGGTCTCGAACCCGCAGGCTCAAGCAATCCACTCACCTCAGCCTTCCAAAGGCGTGGGATTACAGGCTGAGCCACCGAGCCTGGCTTTGTTTTTGTTTTTAAAGAGACAGGGTCTTGCTCAGTTGCCTGGGCTGGGGTGCAGTGGTGTGATCATAGCTCCCTGCAACATTGAACTCCTAGGCTCAAGCAATCCTCCCACCTCCCCAGTAGTTGGGACTACCGGCACATGCCGCCACATCTGGCTAACTTTTAATTTTTTATTCTTTTTTGTATGGATAGGGTTTTACTATGTTGTTTAGGTTGGTCTCGAACTCCCAGGCTCAAGCAGTCCTCCTGCCTCAGCCTCTCAAATTGCTGGAGTTATGGGTGTGCATCACTGTGCCTGGCCCATTGTTAGATTTTTGAATAGTTATTACTTTAACATTTTTAGACCGGGCTTGGTGGCTCGCTCTTGTAATCTCAGCACTTTGGTAGGCCAAGGTAGGAGGATTGCTTGAGCCCAGGAGTTTGAGACCAGCCTGGGCAACATAATGAGACCTTGTCTCTACAAGAAGCCAAAAAATTAACTGGG